TTCGTATAGTAACACGTATAGAGTTATACATTGACATCGAGCTTACCCTAGGATCTTCTTTAATTCGTCGATGCTTTAGTGATACTCGTAGTAGCCCATCGTCTTCAGTAGACTCCACGGAAAATAACCCACTTGCTTTAAAACGGGAAGAATAAGGTTGCCCCTCGTTTAATGTCATGAATTCGGAAAATTCTGCAAAACCAATGTTGCACAATATTTGCTTTGTGCACAAGCGGTCTACCTTGCTGTTGTGTCCAGTGATTTCTCTCCGGGGTCTCTTCAGCCAGATGCATTTATTAGGTTCGAAGGAAATCGAGATGTTTGGTTAGCGCTCTTGTTACCGTAATTTTTGCCCACCCTGTACATCCTCGGAGGCTATTGTGCAAGAATTGCGACAACTCGGAGGCTTTTGCGAAATCTGGGGTCGATTTTCAATAAACTGAATTGATTCAAGAAACAAAGAAACAATAGAAACAATTTCTCCTCACCCCCATTCCCAACTCGGCCTCTTTTTCATCACCATCGACGGATTTGGCATGGTTTTCAATTTCCTTTGACATTTCGCTAAGAATGACAGATTTCACGTCAACGATCACTTCTTTTGTCGTTTCGCCCGATAGTGGCTTCACTTCCACCGTTGCCATTTGCACGCGAAGCAGTGACAACGGAAGAGAGTGTGATGGATTATCACAAGAGCGAGAAATCTTTCCTGAAAATAAGATGGTCTTTCGAAAAATATTACAGCGGCTTCAACGAAACTATGCACGGCAAAGTATAATATTAATATTAATAACAAAAGGGAGAAACGTAAACGAGATCTAACGCATGGACTTTGTTACAATTTCAGGTTGACGATTTCGTACCTGCACGGGAGAATGAGGGATGCGGGTTAGATTCCCACCTGCTGAAGGGTTTTGCTCATAGCCTAGCATTCTTGTAAAAATTATCCATCAGTACTTGCCGAACTGATCTTGATTGTAGAGAAAACACGGTGGTCCCAGAACCCAACATTAAAAAAGGATAAAGCATTTGCCGTTGATCAATCCCTTTTTGGGATGCGGCACGCATTCTACTTCCATTTGTACATTCGTAGTGGCGTTTGAATGCGATGTGGCCTATACAATGACTTGCGGGGCCAGCCGATGTACAAGTCAGTGTTTTTATCCTCCCAGACAAGTCTGGTACCAATTAACCGACCCCGGAGGGATGGAAGGCTTGGTTGGCCCGGGCGACTCACGACCCAGGATTTGATCCCCGGACCGCTCGCGTGGTAAGCGTGCCACTTGTCACTACACCACTTCCGCCCTCGAACCACGAACCCAGCATTAAATATCAAACATTCATCACAGAGGTTGGCGTGTGTAAGTCCACTGCTGTAGAACTGAGCGTTTAGGTAAATCCCCATTGATAGGTTCCCGAGCACGTAACAGAACCGTGGATTCGTAATGACTGAATGCATTAAATGCTGATAATTGCGAAATCGTATTGCATTGATTGAAGGCAGTGATGACGATACTCGAACAATGCTCGCTTCGTATTGACAGCATAACTTTGTCGTTGACTAGTGGCTGTGACAACTTCTCCAATGGAAACACTACTAACGTAGAGAGTAAGAATTCAAAGTGCTGAACCCACTTGGCAAAACCCGCCCACTCACGAGCCACGCCCCTTCGACGTTTTGAACGAAATCGGTACACTTTTTGTTACACTGTAGTGGGACAGATACGTTTATCTTCTCATGAGATGAAAAATATCGAGATGAATCGAAGAACATTAGGACAGCACTGTAGACTCGCCCATACTGCCTTTTTTCGGTAAGGAAATAACTCAGTCTAAGCAGCTCGTTAAGCTCAACAAACAAAACAGAATCTTATAGAAAGCTATAGTAGAAATAGAGTAGAAAGCAATAGGTAAAACAATCTGAATTGTAAGCTCGAAAACTGTTCAACATACAATATAATAAGTTGTGGCGTAGCACAAATGATTAGTGGACATTCATGATTTCGTCAGCCTACGCTACATATTCCTGAAATCTCATCGACTGTTTTGTGGTCATTGATACACGTTCTTAACATTGAACAATCATAATTAATTCTGCATCAGGGTCAACCACGACGTCGGAAAATAATCCAAAAATTTCCTAACCCTCTACTCCTAGGGGTGCTTTGATACGATCCCTACCCCACACGAGTGATCATCCTCAAATACGGTCGCCAACCACACTCGACCACCTCCCTCGACACCATGGCGCTTCTATGGTACCTGATTCTGGGACCATTCGACCCACTCCACCTCCACTCCGCCCACTTTGTCTCTCCAACCAGCCTGGGAAAGAAATTCTACTGAAAGGGAGAATGCTCTAATTTTAGCCCGTCGCTTTCGAAATTCCTGGAGTTTTCATCAAAAAGTCAATGTCTCTCGAGGGCCAGCTAGTTAGCCGCTTCGCGCACCAAGACTCGCCTGGACGGATAAAAATGCTAACGAGCTTTGAAATCATAGAACAATGACGTTAACGAACCAAAAAGCATTTGCCGTTGATCAATCCCTTTTTGGGATGCGGCACGCATTCTACTTCCATTTGTACATTCGTAGTGGCGTTTGAATGCGATGTGGCCTATACAATGACTTGCGGGGCCAGCCGATGTACAAGTCAGTGTTTTTATCCTCCCAGACAAGTCTGGTACCAATTAACCGACCCGGAGGGATGGCTTGGTTGGCCCGGCGACTCACGACCCAGGATTCAGATCCACCGCCGCCCAACTGAGAGCATTTTACGTCACGCTGCTTCCACTTCCGAAGTAGCTATGATATTCGACTATTCAGCAGTCAGTTGAAGCTCAAGACGAGTCTTGTAAAAGTAGTTCAGTCCAGAAGGTTATCGAACCTTATTGGCCAGTGCACAACTAAACCAGGAACTCATTGAATGATGTCTGCAGGAACTACACACTATTTACTGCCCTACTTTGCTCAGCAATTCAAAAAATCGCTGAATTTTGTCAGAACTCAGCAGTTTTGTCAGCTTATAGAAGGCAACGACGAAGATTGAACCTAGTGAGTTTGCCGATTCAAAACGGATGGTAGCTGTTCATAGAGACTCGATTGGTCCCCAAAGCACTATTAACACCGACGAGAACATAATGGAGTGTTCGCATTTTACGCTATTTGTTGAGATATCCTACGTTATAGAATAGGAATTGTTCTGCGAAATAACCGCGATGACGTCGACAATGCCGTAAAAAACCAAGCGAAAGCAGCTGTCATCGCCTTTACGACATTTTTCGATTTTCTTGGTAAAATACTGGGCCATGTTCCATACTGATTCCTTGGAATCTATAGTTTTCATCAGTGAGGCGTGAACGATTCACACGTACTACAAGCGAAGCGGGCAAGGAGATCAATCAAAGTGAGCTGCGCCACGCACTCGATTTTTACGCATATTCTAATTGAAAAACGCTGGAATGCTGTGAAGTCATATAGTTGAAGAGTTCAAATAAATTTTGTATCCATCATTTTATTTGTTTTACTTTCGTTTTTTTTACTTCTTGTACTATTCTTTACTTTGCTTACTTTGGTCTTTTTTACTTTCCTCCTTCTCCTCGAATTAGGTACCAAATTTCAACATAAAATAGGAGTGGTTGCTCAGCTAGGTTGGCATAGCGTAGGAAAGATTAGATCTGCGAATCTTGTGAGTGATTTGGGCCTAATTTGTCTCTACCCAAAATGCTTACTCTTCTCTTCGCTTGCATTACTTCTATTTCTAAAGAAGTAGAGCATTTCTGAAGAACTTCGAGGGTGAACAGTTTCATCTAAGTCATGGTAAAAATGTAGGAAAACTTGGCTGCTTCTAGTAGACCGGAAGCATGAAACAAAGTAGAAGAAGATGGCGTAGTGGCCCTGGGCGCCATTATAGGAATAGACACGATGGAATGATCTGCAGATTGAACTATATGTGAGCAAGCTTCCCTGCCCCAAAAAAGCAAGCCTGTCATGCCTTGGAGCAGCAACAATCTGTTCTGTGCGTAGGATGACATCGTCCACTTGTATCAACTGACGTTGTCGCGGCTCGAAAGTGCGCGGCAATGGTGTTAGGGCCTTATAAAAGCTAATGGCGGCTAATGTGAGCTAATGGACGAGATACCTCGCGCACACCCCATGACATGGCAACGCGGATGATGTTGCAGCTAGTTCAAATAAGCGCCATTTAATAGAGCCATGATCAAGTAAAGACAGCTCGTTCGAACCGCTACTCCCTCTTTTCGAGAGGGAGCCCCTGTTGAGGGCTTCATCGCCGTTTTGCTTTACTTCTTTTTTCATTTTCAATCCAGTAGCAATCTACTTTTTATTATCACGGCTTTTACCCAACCAACTTGATATGGGTGTTGCATTGAACCGAGAAGGCAACCAAACACCTTTACAAATATGTAAGGAAGTCTTATGCACTGCGCATCCGCG